CGGAAAATTCGAATGTTGATTAAAGTTAAAATAGACAAGAAATGATCTATATGCTAAACTTTCGGCATTGTAGCATACGCTATATATAACTAATTGTGTCGGTGGCTCATGCTGTTCTGTCCTGCTGTGTCCTGCTCTGTGCTGCTCTGCTCTATCCTGTTCTGCCCTGCTCTGCTCTGCTCTGCCCTGTCCTGTTCTGCGCTGCTCTGTCCTGTTCTGTCCTTCTCTGCCCAACTCAGCCCTGCTCCTTCCAGTGCCCCACAGTACTAGGAACGCCGTACATCGACTAGGCAGGAAAGCTTACATTGATTAGGTATGAAGGCTATTGTGATAGAGCTCTCTTTTCCTGGATGCATGAAATGGAGTTAGGGAACGTTCTCCGGGTGCAAGAGTGGAAGACATAGTGGTTAAAATAAGGAATATAGTGTTAGTGAATCACCTCAGTATTTGCCTTTCTGTACTTGGAAACTATATTTCGAGGGGTAGTTGGAAAATTATAAAGTGGCACTAGATATGATAAGGAATCAGTAAAGGTCTCGGTCATGTGTGGCGTTCTCCCAAGGTTAAAAGTACCGATAAGAACTCAGTGTCTTGAAAAGTATTGTATGAATAATACAATATCATTCATGTATTACTGGTACTCTTACATTGGCAAGCTCACCATGTATGCAAGAGATGGCGTTCATCTCTCTAACGAGGTGATGAGAGGAATACAAACTCATTGCAGGAAATTGTGTGAGAATTTAAAGGTTTAATAGCTATATGGATATAAATAACTGCAAAATAAGGAAACCTTAAAAGAGGTTAAAACATGGTTTTTACCCATCGATAAGAATTAATGCACAATTCCTAATAAGGAGATAAAATAGTAGAGATGTCAACAGCAATACTATACAAAGTATAAAAATGTGAGGAACAAGAAGGATGATCTCAGAGTAATTTTGCCTACCGAAAAATTTACGATAATACCCCTCACTGAAACCTGACTGAATACTCAAGAGACCTATTGGGCGAATACCAGCTACGTGGATATAAGTTCTTTTATGCTGACAGAGCTGCTGTGAAAAAAGGTGGTATTGTTATCAATCTCTTGCAAGTGTAAAATCTTTTTGTGTAGTGTAACACTGTATCACGTTATGTAAGGTCACACTGAATTTTATGGTATAGTGTTATAGTGTGTGTTTTGTTATATAGTGTCACATTATATGTTGTTGTGTAATACGGCATTCTATGTTGTCGAGTAAAACTACATAGTACCAAGTTATGTTGTCTCACATTGAATCTTGTGGTGTAGTACCAAACTGTACTCACCTGTTGTGCTTGCGGAGGTTGAGCTTCGGCTCCTTGGTTCCGCCTCTCAACCGTCAATCAACAGGTGTACAGGTTTCTGAGCCTACTGGGCTCTATCATATCTACATTTGAAACTGTGTATGGAGTCTTCCTCCACCACATCACTACCTAATACATTCCATTTAACTACTCTGACAATAAAAAGATTGCTTCTAATGTCTTCATGGCTCATTTGACTCTCCATTTCCACCTGTGTCCCCTAGTGCGTGTTCCCATTGTGTTAAAAAAACTGTCTTTGTCTACTTTTTTAATTCCTCTGAGAATCTAGTATGTATTGATCATGTCCCCCCCCTAACTCCCCTGTCTTCCAGGTACGTAAGGTTTAATTCCAGTAGTCTCTCCTTATAGCTCATGGCCCTCAGTTCGGGCACTAGTCTGGTGGCAAACCTCTGAACCTTCTCTAATTTAGTTTTATGTTTGATGAGATATGGACTCCACGCTGGAGCTGCATACTCCAGGATTGGTCTGAGACACGTGACATAAAAGATTCTGAATGATACCTTACACAAGTTTCTAAAGGCCGTTCTTATGTTGGCCAACCTGGCATATACCGATTATGTTATCCTCTTGATGTGGGCTTCAGGGAACAGGTCTAGAGTAATATCATCCCCCCAAGTCTCTCTCTCTCTCCCTCTCTCTCTCTCTCTCTCTCTCTGATTCCAGAAGAATTTCCTCTCCCAAATGATACCTTGTATCTGGCCTCCTGCTCCCTACACCTATCTTCATTACGTTATATTTTCTCGGGTTATAATCTAACAACCATTTGTTGGACCGTTCCTTCAGTTTGTCCAGGTCTTCTTGAAGCCTTCTTGATTGTGTTTGATGGTGTAGTGCAGATTGTATATTACGTAGTGTCACATACATCTTTTCGTGGAGTGTGTTTTGTTTACCATCATTACACGTGACATTGTATTTGGTCGAATAGTTTCGTATAGTATTTTGTTACGCCACTAAACACTGCCTCTTACAGCTCAATGTCGTTTCGTACAGGGACGCATTGTGTAGTACTGAACCGTGTAGACATATGAACAAGTAATGAGGCTGGACGATAGATTATAACCCACGTATTTGAACCCAGGCCCCGCACATTACCGTCTGGATTAGACCTGCACAACTTTTAAAATAATACGGGGCCAAACTACTCCAAGGAAACCAGATTTGGGCAGCGAGTGAAAACGTCATTTATCCAATAACATTAATATTGCTTCAATATTAATGGCATCAGATAAGGTAATCAATAATAATAGTAAAAATAATAATAATAATAATAATAAAAAATAATAATAATAATAATAATAATAATAATAATAATAATAATAATAATAATAATAATAATAATAATAATAATAATAATAATAATAATAATAATAATAATAATAATAATAATAATAATAATAATAATAATAACAACAATAATAATAATAATAATAAATATATATGATTTTCACATTATATTAAAATTTCAAACATAATTATATAAAAAATTATACATTTCTCACTTGAAACAAAATTCCATTTATAAAATACTTTAGTCCAAATGGTTTAATTTCATAATCATCTCATTAACCTAATGAGAGGCATAACACCCTTTACACTAACAATCTTGTTGGGTTCTTGGGTCATAGTTGCAGTAGACGTCTTCAAGACGTCTTCTAAATGGTCATTATTCAGACAAGAACGTTATTTATTTTTTGCATTCGTGATAGAGAATGCTCATAAATTGAATGAGCGTTTCAAGTGCAGCTTTCAGGGGACCTGATAGCTGAGTGGACAGCGCTACGGATTTGTAGTCCTGAGTTCCTGGTTCAATTCCTAGTGAAGGTGGAAATAAATTGGTAGAGTTTCTTTCACCCTGATGCCTGTTACCTAGCAGTAAATAGATACCTGGGGAGTTAGACAGCTACTATGGGCTGCTTCCTGGGGAGGGGGGGTAACAAAAAGGAGGCCTGGTCGAGGACCGGGCCTCGACCAGGCGGGGACGCTATACCCCGAAATCATCTAAATACAATCTCAAGATAGATAGCTGTTCTAAGATCTTTGAGTATTTTTCAGTGTCCAGTTTTCTGTAAAATTCCTGTAGACTGCTTTCTCGGTGCTTATTTCTGTAATTTGGCGAACACTGATGATCAGTAACGTTCAACTGTAATTGGAATGCCCTGTTGATTGCATAGAAAACGGATCTTCAATATCCTCAATTGATTTTTTTTAATTATTAAAGTGTGTTTTCTGTCAATTTTCTCAATTGAATCATAAATTTTCAGAGCATATTTATCTCCTAGGTCGCTGTGCTTGTCCTGGGGTGTGTGCTGATCTCAAGTGGGAAAGTGACACATTTCATCTTTCAGCAGCTGACTTATAAAAAGCTTCAGTTTCATTTTGAGAGTTTTCATTGCTGCGAAAAGTTGAAATATGCAAAAAACAAGTTTCCCTGAAGATTAGTAATGAGGTTATTTAGATGTGTTTATCGCCATTGAAGATCATTATTAAACAACTCATCTCCAAGCTCAGGAAATTGCCTTAGTTCCTCTTATAAGAATTTGACAACTTCCTCTTTTTAAAGCAACGAAACACTTGAGCACTCGTCCATCGTCTTAATCACCTTCCTTCAGAACGGTAGTTCTGAAGGAACAGGTCGTTGTATTCCGGGTCTATCGCTTCAAAGAAACCTCCGAATATCTTATGTTTCACTCCTTTAGAACGGAGGTAGTTAACAATAGAAATTCCCACTGACGTTACCCAATCAAACTTCAACATTTTGCTACTCTGAACCTTAAGATGTATTACTCAGTGGTGTAATACAAAAAATATTTCTGCACATTGCCATATCACCATCAGTAGAAATGGGGCATTAAACTTACAAAACTAATTCCTAGCTGCATTGCAAATGTTTTCCAACTTAAACCTACTCTCAAACGCCACGTAAGTACATATTATTTATAGATTCACGGCGTTGTTGTGACTTCATTGTGCATTAACAGTAGCGAGAGACCCACAATGTCACTACCGACAGATGAGTGAAGGCGGCTCCCTGATTGTGACCGGGTACCTGATTGTGGGCGGCTCCCTGATTGTGGGGGCTTCCCTGATTGTGGGCGGCTCCCTGATTGTGGGCGGATACCTGAGTGTGGGCTGATATATGGTAGAATTTGGAGTGTGATACCAGCTGGTGCCGCCCAAGCTCCAAATAAGTCTTACAGATCTTCTGGTTCAGGTTCTTTAAAGCCCATTAAGGTTCAGTCGGTTGTGACCGCGCCTGTGGAGTTCAGGGACGCAAGTTCGAATCCATTGTAATACCTTAATGTTTATCACTGATTTATCACATTATTGTGATTTAATTATGATGTTGAACACTTTGCATGCAATGAATATACTTTATTTTCTGGAAAATTGGTTGCCTCATGCAGTGTATGACATACACAAAGTGTGGATATTGTAAACCTTCCACCTGACATATTGATGTCGTGGTCATCTTCACCTCCGAGGGACGAACATCATGTATAGAGTAAACATCCGTGGACCCCCAAGGGGACCATGAACCACCAAGGTGTTCAGGGACACCAGGTTAACAACCCCTGGTGTGAACTATTTTCGTTGCAGCTTCACCCACAGCGGCTCCCACGCTGTGATAAGCGCAGCAGTATAAGTGGTGCTCCAAGACACTTCCCGCAGTAGAGTCCTGCGACCACAGTAGAGCTGTGTTACAACAGCATTGCTGTTACTTCTGCCACAGCATTGATCTTCACCTTGCAACAGCAAGCCAAAGTTTTCAGCATGAAGCGATCGCAGCTCATATGTGCCTTGTTGGTGAGATGCTTCTACTCTCATAATGCTGTGGTCCTTGTGTGTCATTTTGTCTTTTAATACCTCTGTATGTGTGTTTGTTTGTCTTTGTATGTCTGTGTTTGTCTTTCTATAAATGTCTGTGTTTGTCTTTCTATGTCTGTATATCTGTGTTTGTCTTTCTATGTCTGTATATCTGTGTTTGTCTTTCTATGTCTGTATTCGTCTTTCTATGTCTGTGTTTGTCTTTCTATGTCTGTATATCTGTGTTTGTCTTTCTTTGTCTGTATTCGTCTTTCTATGTCTGTGTTTGTCTTTCTATGTCTGTGTTTGTCTTTCTATGTCTGTCTTTGTCTTTCTATGTCTGTCTTTGTCTTTGTATGTATGTGTTTGTCTTTCTGTGCCTTTATGTCTTTGTCTGTCAGCCTCTCCATATCACTTTGCCTTTCTTTCTATGTATGTATGTACGTCTGCCTCTCCATGTATCTGTATGTCTGTGTCTGCCTTTCTTCCTTTCTATGTCTGTCTGCCATTCTGTCTCTGTATGTCTGTCTGCCATTCTGTTTCTGTATGTCTGTCTGCCATTCGGTCTCTGTATGTCTGTCTGCCATTCGGTCTCTGTATGTCTGTCTGCCATTCGGTCTCTGTATGTCTGTTTCTGCCTTCCTGCCTGAGTCTGTCTTTCTCTATCATTATTTCTGTCTATCTGTATTTGTGTCCGTCTCTATCTATCTATGACCCTGTATGCCTGTGTATGCCTTTCTGAGGCTCTGTATGTCTGTGTATGTTTTTCTGTGTCTCTGCACGTCTGGGTAAGCATTTCTTAGTCTCTGTGTGTCTCTATGTCTGTGTCTTTGATTGTATCTCGAATTATGTATGTCTGGTTAGATCTGTTTATGCAAATAACTTTCTCCACGTTTATTCCTTTTAAACTAAATTTATTCTTGTTTCTCTATTTGTCTGCTGTTTGTTCTTGCCTTGAGTACCGTGCAAGTACAGCTGTAAAGTTAAAATAGGAGCTGCCTCTTATGGGGCAAAATACATAAACAAATTGTTAAAGGATTGAAACAGTAGAACGAGAGGACACATATTATGATAGGATTTATGCCTGTGAAGGTGTCTGAAACAATTTGTGGTATTCTGCTCCATATGTATGTTTATAATTTATTTTGGAGTGTGTTGCTAACTCAAACAATACTAATGAGTATTTATTTCTGGACACCAACAAAAGATTACGCTGAGTTTCCGTTTAATTTTTTTAACATTGCGGGTGTCTGCTGCAGGTGGCGTGGGTGGCGGCGCTGCTCTGCGTCACTGAGGTCCTCTCTGCTTGTGAACCAGATTGCAGCGGCAATAAACCGATGGATAAGGTTGAGGATCCTTTGAACTGCAATAATTATTACATTTGTTTGGAGGACGGAATAGCCTCGGATGTTTCTATACCGTGTGACAGTGGTAGTTATTTTGACGGGGACGATTGTTCTGGTTCTGGAAACTGTACATCTACCTGCACGCCATCACCTTGCCATTTAACATGTAGCGGAAACATGGACGTCATCTCTGACCCAAAAGACTGCAGCATCTATTACATTTGCTCACCAAGCAACATTATTGGACCCTATGATTGTCCCGCTGACAGACCTTATTTTAGCGGCGAGACCTGCGTTAAGGACAAAACTGTGTGTTGCGGCGACCTGTGTAATGCGTACTGCCAGGGTGACATAGCGGAGATTGCTGACCCCTACGACTGCCACAAGTTCTATATGTGCCCTGAGGCGGGACCGGCTGAAGAAAAATATCATTTTTCTTGCCCCTCAGGAGGCACTTTTGATGTAGCCGTGGGTCAGTGTGTGGTCGGCGCCCCTTGTAATATACTGTGTAGTGGGGGAGGTACGGACCCACCTTCTCCAGACTGCCAGGAGTCCATGACGTGCACGGCTGTGGGACTCTTCCCCATGTGCACGACGTGTTACCAGCAGTACTTCAACTGTCACACCGTCGGCCAGCCAGCCACCGTTGAGACCTGCACAGGATCCTTGCTCTTCAGCACCAACCCTTCTTCACCTTACTGTATGAGGCCCGAAGACTGCCTAAAATCAACGATCTGAGCCCACCACCTAACTCCACCTCCCACTGTTCAAAATTCACTGGAAAATGTTCACTGGACACTGCTTTAAGCCCACCGCCCTCTGGACTCACTTCACCACCCACTGGACTCACTCCACCACCCACCTGGACTAACGTGATGTCGTCAACACCCACGTGCACTTGATCCAGTATATTTTTCCACAGACCAACCCACCTGAGCAAGTCACTTGCATCACCACCTATACCCACCATCTACACTGGCACCACCACCCCTATACTCCAGGACAAATCCTGGAGTATGCGGCACCTGCATGGAGCCCGTACCTTGTCAAGCACAAGATGAAGCTGGAAAAAGTTCAGAGGTATGTCACTAGACTAGTCCTAGAACTAAGAGGCATGAGTTATGAGGAAAGGCTGCGGGGAATGCACCTTACGACATTGGAAGACAGAAGAGTGAGGGGAGACATGGTCACTACCTACAAAATCCTCTGGGGAATTGACAGGGTAGACAAGGATAAACTATTCAACACTGACGGTACGCGAACAAGGGGACACTGGTGGAAACTGAGTACCCAAATGAGCCACAGGGACGTTAGAAAGAACTTTTTCAGTGTCAGAGTACTTAACAGGTGGACTGCATTAGGCAGAGATGTGGTGGAGGCTGACTCCATACACAGTTTCAAATGTAGATATGATAGAGCCCAGTAGGCTCAGGAATCTGTACACCAGTTGATTGACAGTTGAGAGGCGGGCCGAAAGAGCAGAGCTCAACCTTCGCAAGCACGACTAGGTGAGTACAACTAGGTGAATACACACACACACACACACGCAAGCATGCACGCACACACACAGACACACACACACACACACACACACACACACACACACACACACACACACACACACACTAGTCCCAGAACTAAGAGGCATGAGTTATGAGGAAAGGCTGCGGGAAATGCACCTCACGACACTGGAAGACAGAAGAGTAAGGGGGGACATGATCACAACCTACAAAATCCTCAGGGGAATCGACCGGGTAAACAAGGACGAACTTTTCAACACTGGTGGGACGCGAACAAGGGGACACAGGTGGAAGCTGAGTACCCAAATGAGCCACAGAGACGTTAGAAAGAACTTTTTCAGTGTCAGAGTAGTTAGCAAATGGAATGCATTAGGAAGTGATGTGGTGGAGGCTGACTCCATTCACAGTTTCAAATGTAGATATGATAGAGCCCAATAGGCTCAGGAATCTGTACACCAGTTGATTGACGGTTGAGAGGCGGGACCAAAGAGCCAGAGCTCAACCCCCGCAAGCACAATTAGGTGAGTACAATTAGGTGAGTACACACACACACACACACACACACACACACACACACACACACACACGGAACACCACGAGCGTAGCTCTCATCCTGTAACTACACTTAGGTAATTACACACACACACACATAATAGGAAGGATAAGAAATTTAGATGATTGTCATGCCCTTCAAGAAGACCTGGACAAAATAAGTATATGGAGCACCACCTGGCGAATGGTATTTAATGTTAATAAATGTCATGTTATGGAATGTGGAATAGGAGAACATAGACCCCATACAACCTATATATTATGTGAGAAATCTTTAAAGAATTCTGATAAAGAAAGAGATCTAGGGGTGGTTCTAGATAGAAAACTATCACCTGAGGACCACATAAAGAATATTGTGCAAGGAGCCTATGCGATGCTTTCTAACTTCAGAATTGCATTTAAATACATGGATGGCGATATACTAAAGAAATTGTTCATGACTTGTTAGGCCAAAGCTAGAATATGCAGTTGTTGTGTGGTGCCCATCTCTTAAGAAGCACATCAACAAACTGGAAAAGGTGCAAAGACATGCTACGAAGTGGCTCCCAGAACTGAAGGGCAAGAGCTACGAGGAGAGGTTGGAAGCATTAAACATGCCAAAACTAGAAGACAGAAGAAAAAGAGGTGATATGATCACTACATACAAAATAGTAACAGGAATTGATAAAATCGACAGGGAAGATTTCCTGAGACCTGGCAATTCAAGAACAAGAGGTCATAGATTTAAACTAGCTAAACACAGATGCCGAAGAAATATAAGAAAATTCACCTTCGCAAATAGAGTGGTAGACGGTTGGAACAAGTTAAGTGAGAAGGTGGTGGAGGCCAAGACCGTCAGTAGTTTCAAAGCGTTATGTGACAAAGAGTGCTGGGAAGACGGGACACCACGAGCGTAGCTCTCATCCTGTAACTACACTTAGGTAATTACACTTAGGTAATTACACACACACACAAACAGATCATGTAAGGTATTTATACGAGAAGTACTTGTCAATTCTAGTCTTAAATAAATTCACGTTATCATACTGAAATATATAACTTGATATGTTGTTCCATATGCTGACGCTTCGATTACAAAAATGTATATTTTGCTTTGACTGAAAAGTTTGTCTTTGTTTAGAGTGATGTTAGGCAATGCAAAATTTAAGTATTATTCTGTATCAGGATTGTCATATATTTTAATTATTTATAAACTTGCATTATTGCCTCTCATTCTTATATTTGTATTTTACTAAATAAAATTAGATCTTTTAAACTGCTTCATATGATATATTTCTATATTTCTAAGTCTTGGCGTCATTTTTGCTGCTCGATATTGAACACCTAATTTGGTTATAACGTTTGTTAAGAACGGTGACCAGAACAGAACATAAGATACCTGTATAAGACCTGATAGTGAAGCGATGAGTGGAGATTACTTTCTCAGATCGTAAGTCTAAATCTCTCCCATGAAAAGCCAATATTGTCACACACAGAGATCACACTAACGTGATGCATCAAATGAACAAATCCACAAGGGACGTGACGAGGATTCGAACCTGCGTCCGGGAGCATCCCAGACACTGCCTTAATCGACTGAGCTACGACAGGGTAAAAGGGTTGAAACCGAAGTTCTACTGAACTTACTGGATCCCGTAGCCTCTCCGAGGCACAAACCAGCATTTTACACAACCCCCCCGCCCCCCCCCCCCCTGCACCCGAACTATGTCAATAGGCCGTTCTCCCTCTTCGCCCTTACATCATCACACACAGAGATCACACTAACGTGATGCATCACATGAACAAATCCCTTGTGGATTTGTTTATTTAAGCAAATATTATATTGGCATCATTTACACCGTCAGTGTACTGCCTACTAGGCCTCAGATCATATCACTTCCAGGTCTATTTTGTTCACATATTCTCATTAACTTTGAATTTCATCCATTTATTTACCTTCATTTGTTCCAGTGTGTATTAGTTTATTTTTATAAACATTCAAATTGGTCTGTCAATTGTTTTATTAATTTATTAAAGTGTTTAATTCAGATTTTAATCTCTGGTGTTCAGGGCTTTGTTCACACAAAGCTGTTGGAGTATTCTTTGTAAAGGAGGCACTGAGTCTACGTAAGTTGTACAGCAGAGTATGTCACTTCTTGTAGATGGTATACCTCTTGTGGATGGTATACCTCTTGTGGATGGAATACCTCTTCTGGATGGTATATCTCTTGTGGATGGTATACCTCTTCTGGATGGAATACCTCTTCTGGATGGTATACCTCTTGTGGATGGAATACCTCTTGTGGATGGATGGAAGATGATATACCTCTTCAGAAACAGTTGTGCAATAATCCTTTTAGTGAGATATTTTGTTTATATTAAATTTGAATCAAGAATGTTCAATCCATTACTAATATTCAAATGTGAATAAATCTTAATTTTTGTTTGTAATTTATCGTATATATTACATAGTGTTTGTTAAGTAATCACTCAGAGGGATATTTGTACAGCAACGACCTCGCTTCTTTCAGGGTCGGTGTTCGATCCTTGAAGGTCCAAGTGGTTGGGTACCATTCCTTCATTTCGTCCCCCCAATCCCAGCTCCTATCCTATCCTCATATCCCAGCTACTACTCTCCCTTTGTATCCCTTTCATGTTCTATATAGTCATGTTGGCTTAGTGTTGTCTTCAGATAATTATCTCATCTTTCAATACTATCTACATTTACTAGCTCCTGAAACCCATCTAGTACACTAGTTAGATATTCTCACCTATAGTGCACTTGTTTTGTTAGAAGTGGCCACATTACAGGTGTGTTGCAGAGGTGGCCACATTGGCAGGTGTGTTTCAGAAGTGGCCACTTTGTCAGGTGTGTTTCACAGGTGGCCACATTGTCAGGTGTGTTTCACAGGTGGCCACATTGTCAGGTGTGTTTCACAGGTGGCCACATTGTCAGGTGTGTTTCACTGGTGGCCACATTGTCAGGTGTGTTTCACAGGTGGCCACATTGTCAGGTGTGTTTCACAGGTGGCCACATTGTCAGGTGTGTTTCACAGGTGGCCACATTGTCAGGTGTGTTTCACAGGTGGCCACATTGACAGGTGTGTTTCAGAGGGGGCCACATTGTCAGGTGTGTTTCACTGGTGGCCACATTGTCAGGTGTGTTTCACAGGTGGCCACATTGTCAGGTGTGTTTCACAGGTGGCCACATTGTCAGGTGTGTTTCACAGGTGGCCACATTACAGGTGTGTTGCAGAGGTGGCCACATTGTCAGGTGTGTTTCACAGGTGGCCACATTGTCAGGTGTGTTTCAGAAGTGGCCACATTGTCAGGTGTGTTTCACAGGTGGCCACATTGTCAGGTGTGTTTCAGAGGTGGCCACATTGTCAGGTGTGTTTCACAGGTGGCCACATTGTCAGGTGTGTTTCACAGGTGGCCACATTGTCAGGTGTGTTTCACAGGTGGCCACATTGTCAGGTGTGTTTCACAGGTGGCCACATTGTCAGGTGTGTTTCACAGGTGGCCACATTGTCAGGTGTGTTTCACAGGTGGCCACATTGCCAGGTGTGTTTCACAGGTGGCCACATTGTCAGGTGTATTTCACAGGGGGCCACATTGTCAGGTGTGTTTCACAGGTGGCCACATTGTCAGGTGTGTTTCACAGGTGGCCACATTGCCAGGTGTGTTTCACAGGGGGCCACATTGACAGGTGTGTTTCAGAGGGGCCACATTGTCAGGTGTGTTTCACAGGTGGCCACATTGTCAGGTGTGTTTCAGATTAATATAAACACAAAATACGTTTATATACGTTTATTGTTATTGAACAATCAGAGATGTGCAGAGAATACGTCATAATAACGGGGGGCTGAAACAGGTAACGCAACACACATACGAAGTAGAAATAACAACGTTTCGGTTCGTCAGGACTTGCTTAGGGCCCAGGACCAGGATGCACCAAGCATTTACGTGTCCACTGACGAAACCTCTACATCTTTCCTCAAACATGGCGGCTTTGTT